CACCCAGCCCCCGAGATGCGAGGACGCAAGAACCCACAGAGCAGCCAGCCTCCGCCTAACCTGCCCCCGTGCAAGGTGTGTGGGGAGCAAGGGACAGGCTTCCACTACGGGGTCACCACTTGTGGGGCTTGTAAGGTGGGTGGTTGTTGTGGTTGTTGTTGTTGTTTATGGTGTTGTTGTTGTTGTTTATTGTGTCGTTGTTGTTGTTGATGTTGTTGTTGTTGTTGTTGTTTATGGTGGTGGTGTTGTTGTGGTTGTTGTTGTTTATGGTGGTGGTGGTGGTGTTGTTGTTGTTGTTGATGGTGGTGGTTGTGGGGTTCTGGTTGTTGTTGTTGTTGTTGATGTTTTTGTTGTTGTTGGTGGTGTTGTTGTTGTTGTTGTTGATGGTGGTGGTTGTGGGGTTCTGGTTGTTGTTGTTGTTGTTGTTGATGTTTTTGTTGTTGTTGGTGGTGGTGGTGTTGTTGTTAGTGGTTGTGTTGTTCTTGTTGGTGATGGTGGTGATGATGGTGCTGTTGTTATTGTTGTTGGGCCTGTAAGGTGGGTGGTTTTTGTTGTTGTTATTGCAGTCGTTGCAGTTGTCGTGGCAGTATCGTGACGGTCGTACGAGCGCTGGACACAAGTTGCTTGTTTTCCCGGTAGTTCACTCCATGGATATCTATTTTTCGGAAAACAAAGAAGAGGGTGGTTGGCGGGTGCTCTGGTGTGGCCTGCTCCTTCATTCCTCTTGAACATCTATCGTCCTTATGTCCCCTCCTCCCTGCTGTTTAAAAAAAATTGTAACTCTCTTGTAACACCTCTAATCTTCGACACTTGTAATATGACCTTATTGTGTTGTAAGTGCCAGTAAACTGTAACGAAACCAGAAATGAAAGATGTGATGTAGACACCACCTTCCCGAGACCTTAGCCGACTCATCAATGATAACAGTAGGAAAGTATAAAAAGTGCTGACTAACGCTTTAGGTTCGATGACACGGATTTTGTTTTTTCTTTGTTTTTGCTTTTACTTGTTGAAACTAGAATAAACGATCTTAAAAGTAGCTCACAGAAAGAAATATGGGCTGATAATACACAACCTGAGGCCCACAGAATAACTAGTTTGATAACTTTAGCGAACAAACACATTTACGGAGGGGAAAATGAATAACAGAGTAAGACCTCACAAGAATTATTATCAGTATCAGACTAGCTGGGTTTCCCGTTCAATGAACGGACTCAAAAGAATCGGTCGTCAAGTGGGGGAACAGTGCACGCACTCTTTGTGGCCGGAAGTCCACACTTGTTTACAATGGCGTCTTAGAAGACGGACTTTCCTAAGATTAGATCTAAACGAAACTAATAAATATAAAAACCTGAAAATTAAAATACAGTGACTTCAGACTCCTCAGTAAAACTGTGCAACTTTTAAATGAATCTGAACCACCATTAATTTTTTCCAATTCGAAAGTTAACCACCCCCGGGGCAGTGCCACTGACTGTAGTGTCTTTAGACCATTTCCAAAGGGGGGACATTTCTCGTTCAAGCACAGTAGAATTGTAAATGGGCTGATTCATCATGTGCCTGATCTACAACAGGGAACTGCTGCTTTTTCTTTTCTAATCCTTACTATCGTCATTTCCCCCTCTACTTGTTTTGTATGTTTGTCGCACTCTATGGACTCGCTATTTCCCGGGTGCCCTGATAGTCGAAGCAGACTTTGTGCTGTTGAGGCTAGGCTAGAGAGTTGAGCAGAGTAAGTCTGATACCCTGTAAAGACTTCTCTGTTGACACCCACCCCTTGGCGCTCATATGACCTTACGCAGTTGCGAGCGCCGTAAAACCCTCCACTTAAAAAAAAAAAAAGTTGAGTGGTTCCAAAGTGACGAACTTTCACAAATGTATGTATAGATAATCTGCTCAAGCTGCACACCTGGCCCTCTCTCCTCTGTGATAGCGGCATAGAAAGCTCAGCTCTCCGGGCCTCGATAAAGATGAGACTGAGAGAGCTCCAGGCAAGTAGGTTGTTGCCCCTTGTCGACTAGGTGACTCTGGCCACCTGTAGCACCCTTCATACGAGTCAAGGCGATAAGCTTTTCTCTCTGAGGGGTATGTGTGTGTGTGTGTGTGTGTGTGTGTGTGTGTGTGTGTGTGTGTGTGTGTGTGTGTGTGTGTGTGTGTATGTGTGTGTGTGTTAGGGGGGGGGGGTTACTGTAACGTTTCTCCCAATCTTTGTTTTGATTTGGTGAGAGTTTTAGTTTTACCGTACATCTATGAGTTTTACAGTAAAAGGTCATAAATTATGGTTGCTTGTAAATCTTCAGTCACTGCAGTGGAACCCACAAGGAGCACGAGGCAGGGGTAGGTCACGGGAAACAAGGAGGAGATGCGTGGAAAGGGACATGAGAGAAATGAAGCTCACTTGGAGCGAGCTAGGAAGGATGGCCCAGGACAGAGATAAATGGAAGGAGCTTGTTTGTGGCGTATGCCCTGCCAGGGGTGAAAGGCACTGATGATGATGATGATGATGATGATGATGATGATGATGATGATGTAAATCTTTAAAGGCTTGACGGACACAAATGGTCGACCAGCAGCTGACCAAAGGCAATGTTACGGCATATTTCGAAACTTCATACACAAATAAGCAACTCAAATTTGCATAATTTTTTGTTGTTTGCATTGTGATGCCTGCCTTTCTATGTTAATGAAAACAGAATTGAAAACAAATTTGGCATGAATAACGAAGTACCCCAAAACAGCGCTTCCTCAGTTTAAGCACAAGGGGGCTATCCCGAAAAAAGCTGTTTTGAGAAAGTCGAAGGTAACGTTTTTGCCCCTTGTTTAATTTCTTTAATTAAAAGACAGTGAGAGTTTTCTCTATAACCAAATAAAAATATACCCACCAATGAAACCAAACTTCGCCTATTGGTAGGACAATGCCCACTTTTGGTGTAGGTCAAGATTTCTGGAAAGCCCCGAAATCTGGATTAGCCCACTTGTCTGTAAAAGCGACCATATAAAATAATATGTATGCAAGTGGCTATTCTCCGGCGCTGCGCCGGTCAATAGACCGGAAGCTATTCTCCGGCCTCTTACCATATGTATATATATAATCTAACTTGAAAATATTGGCTTTAAAAATATTTACCTGTCAATTTCTTGGACTTTTTCAGGGATTTTTCCGTCGCAGTCTGATCCGCCATGAGCCGTACGTCTGTGTGGGGAACGGACTGTGCGTCATAGGACCAGAGACAAAGCGACGCAAGAGCTGCCCCAAATGTCGCCACGACAAATGTCTGGAGGTCGGGATGAGCAAAGATGGTGGGTTGTGGGAGGGTGGGAGAGAGGGAGGATGGGAGAGAGGGAGGGTGGGAGAGAGGGAGGGAGAGAGATAGAGAGAGAGAGAGAGAGAGAGAGAGAGAGAGAGAGAGAGAGAGAGAGAGAGAGAGAGAGAGAGAAAGAGGGAGAGACGTTGATTGTATGGAATAGGAGTGTCAGTGTTATTCTTTTTTTCTTCCTTTTGCACGATATTAGGTAGGAATTTCTGTCAAATATGTCGAAGAAGGTAAACAACTGTCGAGAAAAAAAGCTGTTGTCTTAGATAGGTTAAGGTCTTGGATCGGGTCATGTCTAACATTTTGTAAAAAAAATATTAATTGATGTATACATTGATTTATAACTCTCTTTTATCGTTTTGTAACGTTAGTAAAAATCTCTCAGAGCTAATATAACAATCCCTTACACTATCTTCCATGGAACAATAAAGAATAAGTCCATCTGAGTTGGACCTATTCATATTTTCAGATTTATAATAATAATAATTATTATTATAATCATTATTATTATTATTATCATCATCATTATTATTATTATTATTAATATTATTATTGTTATTATTATTATTATTATTGTTATTATTATTATTATTATTATTATTATTATTATTATTATTATTGTTATTATTATTAATATTAATGTTATTAATATTATTAATGTTATAGGTTTTTTAAATTATCGTCATTATTTTTCTAATTTTTATCATTATATCATTATTATTATTATTATTATTATTATTAATTATAATATTATTATTGCTGTTGGTGTATTATTATTATTATCATTATTGTTTTCGTCATTATATTTATTATTATTATTATTAATATTATTGTTATTCTTCTTCTTTTTCTTCTTTTTCTTCTTCTTCTTCTTATTAATACTATTATTATTATTATTATTGTTATTATTATTATTATTATTATTATTATTATTATTATTATTATTATTATTATTATTATTGTTATTATTATTATTATTATTATAAGTTTTATTATTACTATAAATAGTATCATCATCATTATCACATGTTTCCAGCTATCAAAACCGGCCGGTACTCCTACGTGAAGAAATCGCACGACATCCTGGAGATGATAGAGTACCACTTCTACAATGTGGTGGGCCGAGAGCCCGAGGAGGAGGACATCAAACAGTTCCAACAACCTCCCGCAAAACGACAGCGAACGAGTAGCAACAGCAACAGCAACAGCAGCAGCAGCAACAACAACAGCAAAAACAGCAACGGTAACAAGAGCAATAACAGCAAGAACAAAACCCCGGAATACCGCCAAGACGACAAAGAGTCGTTGTCGCGGTATAAAGGAGGGGACGTTCTTCCGTTAGAACCAGACGCCCAGAACACTGTACTCTCCAAGTGTCATCCGGTCAGAGAGACGCAAGGTCACGGCGGAGAGACAGAGCGGAATTCCAGCTTCTCTGTGGGGTGTCAGCTTTCCCCAACAAAGTCGGCGGAGGGGGCTGCGATGACGAGCTGTGCTGTGAGAGAAGTGTCTAAGCGTGAGAACTCTCCGGGTGGCTACATGGAGGTTACAGTGTCTAGGTCAGGGGGTGAGGGGTCAAAGGACTTGGACTTCCGAAACGGAGCAGAAGCTTGTCTTCTCCCTGAAACTTCAAGCAGCAGTTCAGACGTTCAATGTCCTCAAAGAATGCTGGAATGTAGGAATCAGTTTTTGTCAGAGAGTTCATTTGTTGAGTACGGCTTCAGCGAACCATCTATGGTTTTAGACAATTCTGACGCTCACTGTGTTCCATACACTCCCGCTGACCCTCACTGTCTGCCATACTCGTCGCTTCAGGAGGACGCGTTGTTCCGTCAAGCCGACCCCGAGCCCTCCCCCTCCTTGACCACGCTGTCGCCGGTGTCCAACTACTCATCCATGTCGTCGGGTGCATCAAGTACAGGCGTGACGTCATGCTCTGCTTCCTTCCTCACGTTTGACTCCCCGTGGGTCGAAGCGCTCCCGACTTCAGACGACTCGCGATACTACAGCAGCATCTCCCCGCAGGATTCGTTCGACGGGGCGTTCACGTTTCCCCCACAAGACAGCGCGCCGTACGCTGAAGGCAGCTACAACTACCCCCCGCCAGGCCACGAATCGTGGGAGGAGTCAGGAGCCCCCCTCCCCCCATCCCCAAACAGTTCTTACGACAGCGGGCGTCACACACTGTCGCCAGAAGCTCCCTTCCAAACCGGGGGCGGTCATTTCTTCTTTTCCGATTTCCTAGAGGGAGAGTTCCCGCCCTTCCCTAATGACGGGAAGGGTCAAGGACAGATGGGCTTCTACGAATTCGACCTCCCAGACGCAGCAATGATGTCTGGACCGACAACAAGCGTATCTGAACACCAGATCAACGGTTTCAGCGATCTATCTCGTCAAAACATCCTCAAAGATCAGACGGCACCTCTTCGTTGTGCTGACAACTTCAACAATGAACCACCAGTAGCTGCGAAGTTGACGGACACGATCGACAGAAGCGGCGCTGATAACACATCCCTCCAATGTAATCCTAGCAGCTGTCTGGAGCCCTCTCTTGCTACAAGAGGCGGGGGTCTGGAGCGATCACCCATCCCTTCACTGGCTCAGGGGGAAGACAAACCGTGCACAACTCCTGTGTCCAACGCCCTGAAAAGACAGCGGCACCTCGCTTGGTCTGATGTCAATTTTGGAGAAGAAGGGTTGCCACACATCGAAGAGATCGTGCGTTTTGAGACGGGAGGACGAGCTAAAAAACCCAAAATGTCCAACCAACTGCCCCTGAACTTTGGAGGTGAACAAACTAATAGAACTCAAAGTGACTCTGGAAACGACAATAAATTATATCTCAACTTAGAAAGTCTGAAATCAAACGATACAGCGGAGAACTTTTGTTTTCAAAGTAGACCACTAGAAGCAGACGCAATACCACAACCCTCAGTACCTCAGACGGCTTGCGCAGCGACTGAACTGCCGGCCTACATCGAGGCCGACCCCTTCCCCCCACAGATCAGAAACGCAAATTGTGCAAAAAGATCTCCCACCGTTTCCAACGTACCGTTCCTTTCCCGCAGTTCTTGCAGAAATTCCTCGCCGAAGCCACAGTCCACAGATACTCAAGAAAATTTCCTATTGCCCAATCTCTCTCAGCCATGTTTGGAAAATGTCCTTCCATCCCCTCCATTGCCTTCCCTCTCGCAAAGAAGCTCAGACAGTTCATCATTCTCTTCCCCTCTGCCCTCCTCTGCCTCCCTGCCCTCCTCTTCCCCTCTGCCCTCCTCTGCCTCCCTGCCCTCCTCTCCAGCGTCCTCCCCCGCACCTCCATCGCCACAGACTCCACTTCTGACCGCACCGTTACCTACCCAACTCTCACACAGTGCCCCCAAAACTGCCAATGGGTTGTACTTCATATTCGACTCTGGCATCTCAACACAGAATCTATCTCAGAACGCCACGTTGAAGGGAAGCGCCACATCTGGGCAATCCGTCACAGATCTCAGACGAGGAAATCTGGATGACAACGAAAAACAGTTGGAATCTGGTCAATGTGATGACGATGAATCGAGCAGGAATTCTCCCACAAGTATCGCTCGCCCCGTCTCGCGCGGCGGCGACGATTACTACGAGACTTTACCCTGGTGCGAGTTCTCGGAATGTGAGCTGGACGAAGCATTCGAATCTCTGAGAGTATCGCATGAACATATCGTGGTAATCGACTCCAACCTGTTGTCAGAAGCCGACATCGCAGAGAAAGAGGAATCGTTTCTGGTAAGTGTGAGTTGTGATGAGTCCAAAGAAATGAGAAAAGTATCGTTCGTTCTAGTTCATATTTGGGTTTTTTTTTGTAGAAGGAGGTTCTGGGTTCTGTTCGTACCAACACGCAATCTGGTAAAACGAAAATTAAAAAATACACTGCAAAAATTTGATGTTGTCTCCGTCATAATAATTTTTACAAAAAGTTTAAGTAGAAGTTTTACGGGGCTCGCAACTGCATTAGGTCATATGAGCGCCATCATAATTAGTTACTTTATCTTTTTTCAATACAGAATGATCCACCCATTTGTAGAATGAGACTATAAGCTTTTGTACTGCTCAAATTTCCTTTCCAACAGCAATCTCTAGGCGCTGTAAATCCATGATATTACGTCAGAAAACTGGATATCATTCTGGAGCAGTTTCAACGTTCTGGGATTTAAAACACACATAGGCCCAGAAAGCGAAACTTAAACAAAATACCAAATTGCTAAATGGCGTTTGTCAGAGTTTTGTATCCAGCCATCAAAAGGTGGTATGAACACAATGTTTCTAAAAATACTCCCCGAAAATAATGGCATTTCGGGTGTGTGTGTATTTTTTTTGTGCGGGAGGGGGGAGGGGTGGGAAAGGGGGTGGGGGTAAGAAGGCGGGGAGAGTGCTAACACTACGCGTTATCTTTCTTCTGCTACAAACCAGCACGGCTCTTTTGTTGACTACACAGTAACCGTAATGCACATTTCATTTCCGTGGGAGATACCATTTTGGTATTTCGAAAAGAAGGACTTGAAGAGAAACCTTCCATTTATGTTCTGCAATACTCAGAACTACTGTCTACATAATATACCACATTATCATAGGACCACTCGTTGTCTGAGTAAAGACAAGCACGTCGACACAATACGGCCTTTTAGTGGGTAGATCACTCAGGTGTCTATTACTTGTTTGTGGTGGCCGAATTTTGTAATTCAAAAGGCTTTTTACTGGCTGCATCGATCGACATGCAGTTTTCGCCAAAAGATTCTTTAAAATATGCTCCAGATCATGACGCCCTTCTTTTTTTCAGTTTTGAGACATTTTTGCTGCAAAAAGCTAAATTTCTTTATTTCGCCGATCGCTTTTGTAGGCCGACACTTCTGTCTCTGTAATGTAAGAAAATCTGGTGCGGAAGCGGAGGTGATATTTCACGAGGCGTATTATGTTTTGAGAGTATAGATCTAGACCTCCTAATTTTTTGCATCTCACAAGATTTATTGCTCATTTCCAGTAGAGTGTAAATATAAAAGTCCAACAACTTTCAGTTGATGTTAATGCACCTGTCATTCCTTTCATCGAAAGGGGGCCCAGCTAGTATTATTTATAAGTCTATCTAGTGATTAGAAGAGAAAAAGTATGTGTCTAACAGGCTGCAATGCTGTATGTCTGCGTGTGTCTGGCTGTTGTACGCTTGAACAAACTGATCATTCAGTGCCCAATTGGTTGCTTTTAAGGACAAACGGGCTAACCCAGATTTTGTGGGTTTCCAGAAATCTTGACCTACACCAAAAGTGGGCACTGCCCAACCGATAGGAGAAGTTTAGTTTCATTGGTGTGTATATTTTGTTTGGATACAGAGAAAACTCTCCTTGTCTTTAATAGAGACTGTACAAGGGGCAAAAACTTTACCTTCCATTTTATCAAAACAGCATTTTTCGGGATAGCCCCCTTCTGCTTAAAAGCGACCAATTAGTCTGACGCTTTAAATTGTCAACATACCCACCAAAATTTTGGGGGTTAAAAATAAACGGGGAGATAATTTACCACAAGCATTTACATGAGCATCAGCCCATCTCCTTACCTCCCGTGCTTAACGATGCTCACATGAGATAATGATTATAATCCAAATAGGTTCATTTTTCAGAGATGTGATATAGCTTAGGAGACTGCTAAGAGTATCGTGGAAGGAAAAGAAATCAAATGAAGTAATGCTTGATGAAGCCCACGTGGGACGCTCAATGTTAAAAACTATCAGGAAACGAGAAATGCAGTTTTTGGGACACCTGAATAGACGTAAGGGTCTTGAACATCCAGCTCTCACTGGCAAAATTGAGGGCAAGCGAGGCAGGGGTAGGCCCAGAACAACATACTTAAGGAACCTAAACAAATGCGTAACAGGGAAAGATCAGGGAAACGTAGCTTTTTCAAGAGCATCCGAGCAAAGGAATGAGTGGAAAATGGAAAACCATGATCGCCGATTTGTGTAACAGATCTGGCACTGGATGATGATGATGATATAGGTTAGGATCAAAACGCAATTTTACACAGCGATGTCCTTCGAAAAGTTCCGAGTTAACTCTCTCTCTCTCTCTCTCTCTCTCTCTCTCTCTCTCTCTCTCTCTCTCTCCTCTCTCTCTCCTCTCTCTCTCACTCTTTCTCTTTCTCTCTCTCTCCTCTCTCTCTCTCTCTCTCTCTCCTCTTTCTCTCTCTCTCTCTGTCTGTCTATTTATCTATATATCTCTCATATGGCCACATTATAATGCAGTTGCAAGCACCACAAAACTCTTACTAAAAACAAAACGTACAGTTCAAAACAAGAAAACCAGAGGAAACAAATAGTTGTGATGAAGTAGTTCCCACAAGTAGCACGCCTATGTTCCCCCAATTGATAAGTAAATAGATAAATAAATGCATAAATAAGTAAATAAATAAATAAATACATAAATAAATAAATAAATTAATAAATAAATAAATGAATAAATGAATAAATTAATCAATAAATAAATTTAAAAAATGAATAAATAAATAAATGAATGAATAAATAAATAAATTTAACCAACAGTGGGAGACGAGAAAGGTGATCCATCTAAAGAGATTTATTAGAATTGCTTTTTTTCTCTTCTGCATGTCCTTACCAGGGAGTGAGAAGACTGAGAGAAGAAGTATTCGGAAAGTGCCAGAATCTAACGGACCGAGACCTGTACTATAAGATTCTCGATGCCACTGGTATCGACCTGGACGGACGCAAAGAGTGGATGGAGGTGATGGCCGGAATTTTCAACACGATGGTCCGAAAAACTATCCGCTTCTTCAAGTCTGTGCCTGGCTTCCGAGATATCTGCCAGGCGGACAAGGTGGTCATGTCCAAAAGTAGGTCGACGTATATAACTGGTATAGGTTTAACCCCCCTATCAACGCTATTAGGTTATTTAAGAGGCGGGACCTCCTAGTTTAACGTCCGTCTCCGATAGGACCGAGCCAAGTGGGAAGTTCGTGTAAAGTGTCTTTCCCAAGGACACAACGTCGGACCGAGCTGAGGCTCGAACCCCGAATCCGCATTCTAGGCTACGGACGCCACGAAACGTATATGTACCAACAATTGGTCGCTTTTAAAGACAAGCGGGCTAACCCAGATTTGGGGGGTTTCCAGAAATCTTGACTCCCACCAAAAGTGGGCATTGCCCTACCTATAGGAGAAGTTTGGTTTCTTTGGTGTGTATATTTGTTTGGTTATAGAGAAAACTCTCCTGGTCTTTTAAAGACACTGAACAAGGGGCAAAATACGTTAATTTCGATTTTCTCAAAACAACATTTTTCTAGATAGCCCCCTTGTTCTTAAAAGCGACCATGGTACCAATTAGAGGTGTGGGCGGTCGGTGGGCGCCCTGGCTTGATTTGCTCCGTCTTTTCAATCTTATGTTATGTGTTGAACTAGTCTCTCCGGTGTTTTTTCTTTTCCAATCAAGCTTCTATCTTCCGTATCTCTCTCTCTCTCCCCCCCCCCCCTTTTCGAATGTTGCTTTCTAACCACACCTTTAATCAATGGTATTAATGCTATTGTTTGTTTTTGTTTTTGTAAAGTGTTTTACGGCGCTCGCAACTGCATAAGGTCATATGAGCGCGCGGGACACACCTAATACTTTTAGTTGGTAGGAAATTTTGAATTTTTCCCGGGTGGCGGCCGAAGCCTACTTTTATCGATTTTAGACCACCAAGGGATCTTTAACGTGCGCAACTTGCACACGGGCACTCCAAGATTTTTCGCCCTTGTCCGAGAAGGCTAGGTGTAGATCTTTCCTATCAGAAGATCAGGGGTGTGGCAGAAAGACAGCTGTAAGGAGTCAAGGAGTAGCAGTTGAAAGGCTGCAGAAAGAATCAGGAGCCCAGAGGAGTGGGCAAAGGAGGTGATGGGGTGGGGGCAGAAAGAGGAGACGAAAGCATACGACAGAATATTGCTAGAGAGCAGAAAAGGTTGTGAAAGGAGACAATTTTTAGAGAAGAACATTTTTCGGTCGCTACCAGGATTCGAACCCGGGACCTTTTGAATGAGAGGCTAACACCTTAACCTCTGGGCCACGAGAGCCCCCCCCCCCCTATTAATGTTCTGACCTGTTTGTGTTACGAGTGACGTAAAAGTTCTAATTTCAGCTTAAAGTAAACCGTGGGTCCATTTTCTTTTGGTTAAAAAAAATAAATACACAAAGCAACAGCATTGTCTTCTTCCTTATTGTTGCTGCTGTTGCTGCTGTTGCTGCTGTTGCTGCTGTTGCTGCTGTTGCTGCTGTTGCTGCTG